GAAACACCTATATCTTCCAAGGAAATGTTTAATGTCTCCCCCATAGGACTCTGAGTTTTATGAAGGTGAAATCATGAATGTTAGATTTACTACCACATATTAAGAACCCAGCACGTTGCCGAATAATAGAGGTATCTGAAAATATGTGTGAAATGAATGACCAAGCACTATGAATCTAAAAACTAACAGGCAAAAGCGTAAAGGGTAGGGAAGAGAGCATGCAGTATACATATTGAGTTTTTGATAGATTTTAAATATATAAACCATGATGACCCATTCAGACCAGCAGCTATAATTCTAAATGTGGAAAGGTATAATTTCTCAGAAGTCAGTTTCCAAATACATGTCTGACACTTAAATAAGCAAAAATGATCTGTATTTCAGATTACAATTGTTTTGAAACAATTCCTTAAAACATTACATCTTTGCTTACTCTCGCATAAAAGTTCTGGTCTCGTGTAACCTGGTCACTGGTTAAGCACCAGATAGATCTTGATTTAACCATAACATTATGAAAGCTGGAGAACTTTTTTTTATATCCACCAAATAAAGTAATTAAATAAATTCTCCTTATTGTTTTGCTATATATCAAGATAAAGGCTTATATATTAAAAAGACTGCTTTGCAATAAGATGATATTATTTCCACAAATCTGCAGCACATAAATACATCATAGTAAATGATAAAAACAGATTGTTTGTTTTGACAATTCTTCATCTTGGGAGAACAAATGGTTCCTTTACCCTCATACTGAAGCTGAAAGATTGTGTGGGAAATGTCAGAAATTCTAAGCAATGAAAAATTTACTTTGAATAAACTTTTTACTTTATTTCCTTTAATTTCTGATTGTTACTGAAGAATAAAAAAGCTGAAATTACTAAAACAATTATTTAAGAGTCAAAAAACTTGGAGGTAAGGTTAACTGTACAAGTAATCAGATGTTGCTGCATTCCAACAAAAAGCACCAAAAATTGTCATAACCATTAATTATAATTTAAACTTTAAAAAATTTAAAACCACTCAGCCACCCAGATTCATATCAAAGCAGATGGCAGAACTGAATAATATGAAAGTTTTTCCTAACGTACCTCAGATGACCCACTGCCCTGGTTCGTACTAGAGAGAGAAGAATATAATCATTCTGTTGACCTTGAAACCTATCAACAGTTGTCACCTAGGAAGAAAAATATGGGAAATTTGGTATATTTTCAACACAGAAACAAGACTGTAGAGTTATCATTTAAAGAATCTGCTAGAAGTAAAAGTCTTATTCTTCATCCCAAAAGAAACACAATCATGTTCTTGCAATTGAAAGAACACGTTAATGAACACTGCAAAATAAACCACACTAACCATATTAGGCCAAGTTACTACATTATTCTCACGTACAGCATTCATCTTTACCTTCATTCATAACTAAATAAGCATCTGTGGAATTAATAGTTTTCCTCCACTGCTATAGTCCATGAAAGCAAGGACTGTGTTTAAGCTTATTCCCTGATATCCCAGTATGGTGCCAAGCAGTGTATCTTAATAAACACTTATTATTTAACATATTCTGGGCCTCCCCAGTGGTGCAGCGGGTTGAGCACAGTGCTGTGAAGCTGTCTACAGCCTCTGCAGCGTAGGTTCGATTCCCGGCAGGCCAGGGAGAAACACACATGGCACAGCAGACCTCTCCTGTCTTGCCTGCTGCTCCCCTCAGCAGTGTTTTTGGTCGTTCTGCCTGTTCTGCTCCCCACTGTCTCTAGTGAATTCTTTTTCCCTCCCAAGCCTCTGGCCTGTACCCTAGTTCTTATATAAATAATTGTTAAATTTTGACAAAATATATTCCCATGTAGCCACCACTGTAATCAAGATTCCTATCACTGCAGGTTCCTTCTTTATAGTAAAATCTGTATTCCACTACCCCTGGCAAACACTGAGCTGTTTTCTGTGATTATAGATTATTTTTTACCAGTTCTAGAATTCCATAAAAATGGAATCTTTAAGTATGTGCTCTTTTTTGTCTTGTTTCCTTCACTCAGCATGTTTTTGTGATTCATCTATTACTGTATACATTAGAAGTTCCCCCTAACATTTTTACACATATTTTAATGCTCTTGAACAGGTGAAAGGGCTATTTTGAATAATGCTGCAATGACTATTCATGAATAAATATTTCTGTGGACATATGTTTCTATTAATTGTGAATAAATTTCCAGTAATGAAACTGCTAAGCAATATGGTTACTGTATGTCCACCTTTATAAGAATCTTTCAAACTGTTTTCTAAAGTTACTATATCACTGTTCACATTCACCAGCAATGATCCAGTTCTAGAGTTCCAGGTGTTCCACATTCTTGTCAACAGTTGGTATTGTCAATATTTATAATTTTATTCTTTCTATTATATGTGTAGTAGTGCATGATTGCAGTTTTAAATTGCATTTCCCTGACAACTAAGGATGGTAAACATTTTTTCATTTGCTTATTGGTCATTAGTGTATCTTTTTGGGTAAGGTGTCCGATTTGCTAATTTTGTATTAGGTTATCTTTAATTAACCATGACTTTTAATTTGAGTTTTTATACTGGATATAAGTCCTTTGTTGTTATGTGTGGATGTTCTATCTACAAACTCTGCTGTCATCCTGATCACATGGACATGTATAAAAACTGGGCTCACACATTGAGAATGACAGGATGAAATGAATCTTGGCCTTTGATAACATAACTGAGCCACTATAATTCCATCCACTTTTAATGAGAAAGAGTGACCTTAAAATATAATTTGATAAAATATTATTTAAGATTTTCTGGTTCTTTAGAAATAGAAGATATTGAGGGTCTTCTATTTCTAAACTGTTTATATTTCAAGTATTATTAGCTTCTCATTTTCATTTTCTAGATCCTTTATGGCAGTTTTACATTGTCTATTCCTTCCTGCATGCCTTTCAATTTTGTATTCACTTCCACGATTTTATTTTCTTCCAGTTCAGATTCCATCTCTCTTTGAACTGAATTTCTCTGCTGTACTTCCCTGGCAAAAATGGTTACTTCAGTAGCTATTTAAAAATTCAAAAAGAAAGGTGTATTCAACATTTTCATCTGTTCCAGGCCAACATGTTTTCTGGAACTGTATCTTGTCCAATTGGTATATCTGATGCTCTGTCTTTGATTTTTCTTCTTCGTAAGTTAAGCTTGTTCTAGTTTCCTTTTTACTATTCATTAATGAACGAGTGGGCTCCTTAGACTGGGCAGGACAATACACTGAGATGGACAGGGCTTTTTCTAAAGGCTGGATGGTTTTCACATCTGAAAGTTTTCTTCCTCGGTTACTGTAGAGACAGCCTATGTTTTGCAAGTACAGCTCACCTATAGGTTTCTTTGTATCAACCAGGATCAGGAAAACTCCTGGTTACTCCTTTGTTATTTTTGTATTTATTATCATATTTCCCATGTTATTTTCTAGAAAAAGTCAAAGCTTTTATATAGATTTGTTTGCAACCAAAGATCTAATTTTATTAATAGTAAAATTATAGTTATGCTTTGTTATTCTTTCTAATTTATTTAATCCTTTATTGATAAAATCAATGATCTTCATTTTTATTTCATATTACACCATCACATCACATAAAAGATAAAATACTTAAAAAGAAACCCTAAGGTTTAAATGCATTTTGCATCTCCCTTATTCCCAAGGAAAACTCCTCTACACATATAAAATAAAATAAAAAACAGTACAAATTATACTTTTTTGTAAAGCAAATTTCTATTTTTACTATGACAGTATATAAAAAAATCATTTCATTATCCATCATTTTACTAACAAAAAGTTTTAGAAATATTTATTTCTAATTAGTATCAATAAAAATCTTCTATGTGGTAGTTGAGATAAGGAGAGTTCATAGCAAATAGATAATGCTGTCAGGTAGGAATGCCACAGAATTATTTATTGTCCTTATTACTTCACTTCCTTACCTCTCTTAAGAGGACACAGCAAAGAGACAAATTAGAACAATATAAATAACACAGAATAAATAGAAATCTTTCCATTTTGCCAACACAATGAATACAGTACAGATCATATTCAGAAAATTACCTTATTTGGTCTTCCAATCAATGGATTACTCCCACATCGTCTATTGATGATGTCACGAATAAGATGCTTTTGCCCATTATAAGTTGTTAGGATACTGATCTTATCAGCAGGGTAACCAAGTAAACACATGTACATAAAAAGCGCTACTACATATTCAGCTTCTCCAAGATTCTGTAATGCAAAGAAAATCAGATTGTGCCTTTTTTTTCCTTTTCTCGATTTTGTAAAGAAAATGGTTAACTAGCATAATCTGTTAATTTATCACACCTCAAGAAATGAAAAGTTAATTGGGACAAGTGAACACTTTTCAAAAACTGATAGCTAACCTCATCCTAGATTAATACTGATAAATCAATACAGAGCATGTGGTAGTTATTTCCCTTTGTCATCTGCAGTGTATTTGTAATACATGGAATAATGATAAATGTTACCAACTTGAAGGTTTGGTATTTCTGGAACCATAAGAATCTAAACACTGTAGATCAATAATATTCTGTTATAGGGTACTGCAACTGTAGTTATGAAAGAAATATTAACATTAAGGAGCATGATGACTATTTAAGAAGCAAAAAGAAATTGCGTCTGGCAGTACTATTAGTTGACTCCCAATCCTTTTTTTTTTAAAGATTTATTTTATTTTTATTTATTTATTTATACAAGCACTGGGTACAGTCAGAAGCGTGGGAGGGAGAGAGAATCCACCAGAGCCAGAGCAGGTTGCAGAGCAGGCAGAAGGACCGAAGCACACTGCTGAGGAGAGCAGCGGGTAGCAGGAGAGGTCTGCACGCCATGCGGGACCCTCCTCTGGTGGCTGGGGAGCAGCCGGGGATCAAACCGGTGCTGCAGAGGCTGCGGGCAGCTTCGCAACCCAGCGCTCAACCACTGCGCCACCAGCGAGGCCCTTTTTTTCCTTTTTTTACATCAGAACGGTAATGTGCTGATGTCATAACAAGGTTTAAGGGAGGCACATCTCACATAGCTGCGTGAACACCCGATCATCATGCTTATGAACCGGAAAAGGATCATTACTCTCAATCTTTACGCGGTGTTCTACTTCTTCCTCATCTTCCTGGTGTTAATTATGTATTTTGTGTTTGTTTTCTTGCTGATGTTTACTACTGTTACCAGACCACTTCAGGTGGGAATAGGATCTCAAGTTCATCAGTGTGGCTTACTGTGATTTTAGAGACTCTGGTTAAGGTAGGGGGAGGACCTTAAAGCTGAAGCTTAATTGAACTTGGCTGGTCAGTCGAGGCTAGTGGAGGCCAAATTGAAAGTAACAGAGGAGAGAAGAAAGTAAAATGAGGACATAAAGATAACATGAAAATCAAAAAAGACAGACAAGAAGCTGAATTTCATGAAAAGGCAACACATAAAATACAGGAAGACCTACAGAAAAAATCATATATATTCTGGTTGTTGGCGATACATAGCTTGAGCTATTTCTTCATTCAAATTTTCTAGCTCTTTGGAAGGCAGAAGGGAAAAGAAGTCACATGTCTGTAAATCTTTCCATTTTCTACATCAGTAACAAACTACATTTATTTAACTATAAGCTCCAATGCAGATGAAAGCATAATCTTTTGGTGCATACAATACCAGGTCTTGTTGTAATTTTGTATGTATTTCTGTATATATGTATTATTTTTCTCCTTAAAAAATAAAATGGGACACTCTATACTCTGCAACCTGATTTTTTTTCAGTTAATATAGCACAAACATTTTCCTGGTCAATAAAGTAAGTTATAATGTTATTATACTGAGTGGCTCTTCAGTATTTCAATATATGGAATATGTAATAATGTAATTAATGCCTGCTGATAAGACATTGAAGTTGCTTCTAAATTTCAAAATAATCTGCAGTAAAAAAGATGTGATGATCATTTAGTATGTAAGTCTTTGTAATGCTGTCCAATTATGTTTTTTAAGATAAATTCCAAGAAGAGTGAAAACTGCTTTTAAAACATATCAACAACTGTCCACCAAATTACATTCCTTCTAGCGCTGTATAAGCATAGCATTTCTGCAAACCTATCTCAATGCTGAGTATATATTCAGAGGTGAAAATATCTTGCAGTGACTTAACTTGTTACAAATCTACATCCTTTTTTTTGCACAATCTTCTCCTTAGTGCATTTTTCTGTGGGGCTTTAGTTTTTTCAAAGTGATTTTATAAGCATTCTACATATATTCAGAATTTGACGCATTATTTGTTAAACAATGAAAATAAATTTTGCTCTCAAATCAATATTTTTCCTTTATGATTTCTGCTTTAGTGTGTAAGAACAACATATCCAACATTTTCTTCTTTCTAGTATGTTTAGTTTCTTTTTTTTGGTGTATAAACCACTAATTCATCTGAAATTATATTTTTTGTGTTATGAGACAGGTATTTAATTTCCCCTTTTTAATGTCTAGCCAAATGCTTCAGTATCACTGATTTAGGTAGTAATTAGTAATGCAAATGCAGAGTTTCTTTAAAAGTTCACATTTTTTCTTACCTGATAAAAATAAGGATTAGGTTCAGATTCTCCGACTCCCTGGAAATCTTCTACATTGATGAGCTGGAAGTCATAGAGCAGGCCAGCATTTGCTGTACTAAACTCCGGCAAGAGCTGCACGTGGGGTAGGTTTCCCAGATTCTTATATCGCCAGTTGTAGAGGTTGCACAAGCTTTCCAGAGACAACCCCCCACCAAGAGGATATATTAGCAATGTAAAATCCCTTTTAATAAACTAGGAGTGTCTAAAGAACTATACTCTTAATTTTCATGTTACCCATTTTGTGTTCATCTTTTTATCAGCGATGCTTTCCAACCTTTGTTTTCCTACTTTAAGTATGCAAAGGTCAGGAGACTGGTGATATTACAGAAATGATAACTTCACTGTGTTCTCTGAGGAAGTGCTACTGTTACTCTTTAAATAAAAAAAAAATTAGAGAACAGCCTGTAAATTAAGGGAAATTTTGAGGTAACTGTGAGATGGGGTCTGCAAATACTTGATGAAGAACTGATGTGTTCTCCTTTTATTCACCTTTTGATTTCAAATTCAAAACGCCATTAAGGCCATGTAACTTTTGGGAGTGTGAAGAAAGGGGACTGGACGGTGGAAAGATAACCTTCGTATATAAGTCACTTAAAATCACCTCAATGAATAAATATAGCAGGGAAGGCTAAGTCTCTGCAGAAGATGTTAAATACCCATATCGCAGACCTGATGTTCTGCAGTAACCCCCGTGTCCCCAGCCCCGTGGCTCCTTTACCTTGCTCTTGCTCGCCCTTGGGCATCAAGGTCCACAGTGGGGACTCCAACCCGGACAAAGCGAGTGAAGAGAGACTGCTCCATGTTGGAATACTTCTGAAAGGCCATGTTCTTAATGACTGGAGGTAACTGGTGGTGATCACCAATCATAATCCATCGTTTAAGTCGGCTAAAACCATCTTGAGGATTCTAGAAGTGAAGAGACGGCAAAATAATATATTAATTACCCTGTAGTCTCCAATTTATTGCACCGGAGTCTTGCTAGTAACAAAATGGGCTTTATCAACTTATTAGTTCTTGATAGTCACCGGTTCCAGAGAGGAATCTGGCAACTTTATAGAATGGGTGCCATCATCTTGGCTGACATTGGATGAGGGAGGGTGCAGGCATTGAGAAGACAAGCATGGAATTACCCTAGTTTCACAGGTAGTTTAGTTTAACAGGTAATCCAAAAGATCTGGGAGGCTAGGTCAGGATTAAGTAAAGGTGCATAGAAAAAAACAAAACAGGTGTCCATGCAGGGCAATGGAAAGGTGTCTTAGTAAACACCTTCCATCACAAGCCAAGAGACAGTTCTGACGTCCCAAAGCAGTAAAAACATACATCTTCTTATTTCCTATACTACTTCCTCAATCTCCTTCTCTACATGTCTCCTTGATCTTTGAAATACATCCTGAGAAAATGCATTCCAAGTTTCAAATAACTTGGTCTATAAAACAACTTTTAGAACCCAATTTGTCCATAGAGTACAACAGAACAGTCAAGTTTTAAGTTGGAATTTCACATTTTGTTTTTGAAACTTCCATAGTAAAAACTGCTGTACAATAAGAAACACCTTAGCTACCACTATTGCACTAAAAATTTAGGTATAAAGAAAAATGTGCTCAGTGAAAATCAAAAACAACTCTAGAAAGAACTCTAACAAAAGAAATGAAAAACTAGCTCAACAATGCAATTTTCTTGATTGAAATTACTAAGTCTTTTCAAAACTTAGAGATAAACTATGAATTTTTAAGCAGTACCCCCAAAAACAATACAAACTACAAAATAACCATGGATAGATTAAAGGAAGCTAACAGGCTTAAAATGGAATACCAAATACAATGAAGCTAAGGAGAATATATAATTATGGCAGTATCCCAAAACTGTGCAGTTTTCTGATGCTGCCCCTCAGAATTCTTAAAACTCTTTCTTTGTCTCTGGCCTTCCTTTCTCACCTGTAGAAGAAGAGGTATGAAAGTTTCTATCTCCAGAATCTGAGCAGCCTCTTCCATTAAAATGTTGTCATACTGAAAAGGGGAGAAAGAGGAAGTATTTTTAAAAAGACAGCTTGAAAACTGAACAATTATCACCATAACAATAACAACCATCAGAAAAATCCCAAATAAATTCCTGATAAAAATAAAACAAATTATTCAAAAAGAAAGTTCATGATCTTATTTATTATCAACCTCCTGCTTCTTCAATTTAAGGCTTTAACCTCAGGGAAATTCCCCAAATACACAACTCTATATTGAGGTGATCCTGAATCTCATTCCTTGGATTGTAATTATCAATTTAGTTATTTTCAATTCATTCCTGTAAGTGCTACACAAGCAAGAATCAATTTACGACTACATATGATTTCCATTGGATATTCTTCCTCCAGTAAGTTTTAGAATTTCTTTTTTGTGCAGGAATCCTACTCAGTACTCAGTAAATCCACTTCCATCTCACATCTGGGTATTCAGACACCCAAATATGTCAACTTTACCTTCAAAACTCCCTCTTGAATCTATTCACTTTTCTCTATTTCTACTCCCATTCTGACTGCCGCCAGTAATCTTTTTATTAGTCCCTTCTCCCCTCTTCCTCTTTCCTCCCTGAACCACTGATACAATGATCACCAAGTCACGTCAACTCTTGGTTTCAAATCCTTCATAACCTTAAAATTGTCTTAGAAAAAAAAATCTCTTAAAATGGCCCACATGAGCTGTATTAAGTATGTCCTTCCTTCAGTCCAGGCCCTGCTTTCATCTTCTCCTTCATGTCACCTTTCTCTTTACCCACTAAACTTCAACCACATTGACCTATTTCATTTTCTCTGACTGGCAAAACGAGGCCTGTCTCAGAACCTTGGCAGTGAGGTGCTATTCTCACTTTGCCTTCTGTCTGCTTGGCGCTACTGCATTCTTTAAATATCAGCTTCAAACCCATGTTTTATCCAGGCCTTCTCTCACTTCCTAAAATACAAAAATGCGTTTCCCAGTACTCTGTTCCTTTGTCTCCCAGCAATTTAAAGTCTGTCTTCCCACTAGCCCAGTCTGTAGTAATGTGAGGCACTGCACATTTGTAAAATAATGAAAAACCAAGTTTCTCCCACAGAGAAAATTTCATTCTTTGTTTGATTATTACTTCTATCTACACAATTCTTTTCTAGGTCGCTTCTCAACATGTTTTATTTTTCTCCTCTGCTTCAAATTCTGGTTACTATTTAGTATGACATCCTATCCCTTGTTTTATTGGTACAATATCTTCTTTGCAAATCACACTAAGTATAAATTAGAGTTCCTTAGTTTTCAATTTTAAGTTTCCCTCTTTGCTTTTTTTGGGGAGGAGGTGCGAGATGGAAGCATACTTACCCTTAATGTTTAATTAACTCTCCTCTTTAAAACTACTGCTTATATATTCTGTAAGTTCTGTGCTACTCAATTTTACTTGATGGTTTAGGCATGTGGACAAGTCTCTTCTCTACCTGATGGTGAATTACCTCTTATTTTATAG